GCGCGAACTTTAAGTGGGCGCCATCTGCCTTTGCCAATTCGTTTGGGGGAGCTTCCTCCAAACGCAGACCAATCGGTGATAGGAAACTTGGCCGTCATTTCGTCAATTTCGTGGGATCTTAAAGAACGAGTGTTTTCTGGGTCCAGCGGCGTTTGTCGAGCTTACTGCATTTCTTAGCAGGACGCACCGGTCGGAGTCGACAATAGCGCTAGAGGTTTGACTCCTAATAATGACGCAATGCTAGTCAGTGCGCCGACAAACTTGTGCGACAGGCATATCGGAAAGTCGACGATGTCAGCGAGTCAGAATGAGGTGAATAAAGGAACGCCATGACTGTTAAAATTGGTAGGCATTACAAAGAAGGCCCCTTCCGAGAGGTTCGGGCGAAATGCTTGCGTGAAAGTGTCAATAAAGCTGTCAAGTTTTACGGCGGGAAATGGTTGCACAATGCAAATATTTGCCAGAAGCGCACCTTCGAAATTTGGCAGGAAGGGAATCAAACACTGAAGAACGAGGCACTGAGCATTCTGAGTCAAATATTTGGATAAATCGAAAGTTCACGAAATGGAACACCAACTGGAGTTAATCACAAAGCTTTTCCGCCGCTAGAGAGAACTTCATCCTGATGAACGTCGGATATGATATGCTGAACCACTCTGATATGTTGCCTTCGTTCAAGACGTGTTCCTTCGTAAATTCTTTCGATCAGTCCTATTATCTTGTCATAGTGACGGATGATTTGTCGCCACAGAGTGTAATTACACGGACAGAATCGAAGGCTACGTTGAAGTCCTGGAATCTCAAGTGCAAGGAAGCTGAAACTTTCGACACTGCTTGATCATTCGTCCTAGCATGGAGATGTCATCGGAGCAAGAATATCCACTTCGGAATCTTGCTGGTTCATGCAGAGAGACTATTCCACCTTCAAGTTGAGTCTGCTTAGGATTGTTCCTTTCGAAAACATTCTCAAACACCCGCATCAGGGCAATTCCTCAGTAGTTACTAGATTTAAAGTGACTTCCACTTTTGAAGATTGGGATGATCACTCCCTTCTTTCAGTCTTCAGGTATCACTCTCGATTTCCAGGTGCTCTCGAAGACCTGATAAATCCAGGTGACCAGCCTGTTATTTAGGCAGTTCTGGAGTTCTGCACATAGTCCATCGTGCCCGATAGCCTCTGATTCTCTGCACTGACGAGTGGCCATTCGGATGTCCTCGTGTGTAGAGGATGTGCAAGGAATCTCCAGTTATAACAGTAGATCTGGAAAGGTTTCCTCGTTAGGCGGAGTTTCTTTGGCAGCTGTTGTTGTACTGTTCAGTAGATCCGCGAAATGTTCATCCCAGGGCTTCCGGTACCTGGCGGCATAATGTATGAGTTCGTTCTTAAAGTAACTCAACGTCGGTAACGTAACGAGGTTGACGCCCCTTTCTGCTTGCTTCCTCTACCATTAGGAGTTGCCATTGTTTGAACACTGTTCTCCATTCTGCCGCAGCTGCCGCTTTCTCTTATTTTGCAACCAAATCGCTACTGGTCACTGCGGTAAGTCTTGTGTCGATGTTGTCGTCGTCTGGCATGCTTATCTCTTCTTGTAACATCGCCTGCTATGCCGCGTTCGTTTTTTTGCAAAGTTCCATGGTTTTTAAGGAGGTCCTAAGCCTCCTTGACTTTTTTCCGCAAAAGCTGATAGTCTTGGCTACTCTCTCGAGGATGTTTTCTTCAGCTGTTCATGGAAGAGCTCTGGAGATTCTTGATTCTTATCAGTTACAGCAGCGAATCTGTTGTCAATTTCTGCCTCACACAAAGTTGGATCTTTAAGCTTGCTGAGGTCGAAGCAGCGTTTCCTGTCTTCTCCGTCCTCGTTTTTCCAAGTGTTGCCAGACAGAGGCGGACCGTCACAGTCACTAAGAAGTGATTGGATCTGCTGCCAGCTCCCCGCTTGGATCGTATGTCATGGAGTGAATTTCACCAGTTACTGCTCACGATGATGCGATCAATTTAGCTTTCGAAGTCCCACCCACGTTTGCTGATGTACTGATTTATGGGGAACTGCGACCCACCGGTAAACGCCAAGTGTGATGCACAAAGGTATAATAGACTGAGGACATTATCATTTGCTTCTCCTCTAACAAGCTGATCTAATACCCGCGTCAGATTTAAATATCCAGCTTTGACCTGAGCACTGAGGTTACCGACGACGATCGAGTCGTGAGGCAGCAGTAAAGTGAAAACCTGATAAAAACAATCATAAATTGGTTCTTCTTTTGATCTTCTGCCAAGTCTATAAGGGCATACACGGGAA